TATGCAAATCAGTTTGATGGGTGCTTATAAAAGAGTTATCTTCTCAACTTGAAAAATTATCATAAAAACATTCTGCAGCTTCCTCCTCTCCTCTGGGTGCCAGGCTTCTAACACAAAGCCGAGTCAAGAAGGCTCTGAGCTGGGACCACAGGAAGCAAGCACCTCCGACCACTGTGCACACAGAGGAATTATATCTGATGGTGCTCTTCTGACTATGTTCTAAAGTCAATTAGAAATTAATTGGATTATCAGCACCTCCATTAACATAAATAACTGAGAGTTGATTGGACTTTAAATATTTATACTTCTTTTAAAGGCTGGCCTCAGAGCAAAATCACAAAATCTTTGAAATCTCTGCTTCCAAGGAACTCTAACTTGAGTAATGACAGTTATATGTAGGCTATTTCAAAATTTATTATGTCAAGCTCCTGTATTATATAATTTACCACAGGCTATTATAAAGTGAAGAGAAAGATAATGAAAGTTGTTCCATTAAAAGGGGGATGCTGAGTAAATAAACATTCTACTTTACAAATATCTTTGCAAATGTAACACAAATAAGAGAAATAGAAGAAATACAGAGATTATTAGAAGTTAGGATATTGTGTATTCTGGATCAGTCTCAGAGAATAATACTCATGTTCATTACTTTCTGTTCTAGAAAGAAAGAAATCATTTCTATGACACCTACACTGATGTTCTGTTCATCTGTGGCATTATAGATGTACAGAATCTTAAAGCTGGAAAAACATGGGCTCTAGGGTTCAAATTCCAGCTATGCCACCTACTAGCTACGGTCATGACCTTGGCAGGTACTAACACTTTGAGCCTCAGTTTCCTTATGTGTAAAATGTGAAAAATAAAAGTACTATACTTATCTCATGAAGTTATTATAAAAGTTCAGTGAGCTAATATATATAAAGTGCATAACACAAGTTGGCTATGCAGTATTATATTTCGATCCCTCGATTTTACAGATAGGAATTGTAAAGCCTAGAAAGGTAAAAACCATTTTGTTCCAAATCACCCAACTACTTAGTCGCAGAGTTAGAACTAAAAGGCAATCCCTTGGGTCACAGTTCAATCACTTTGTCAACTACAGTTTTGCTATACAGCATTAGCTCTCTGGCTTTGGCCAAAACTTTAAAATAAAGTTTTCTCTCCCTTCCCAAATAATTCATTTCAGGACCTGACTACAATTAAAGTAAAAATGCAAAGATGGAATAACTAGGTGTTGACTAATAGGTAAATTAAGGGGCAAGCAGAGACATCGAACAAGGAGGAATCTGTCCAGGAGGTGTTCGCTTCTGCTGGCCAAATGCTAAACTACCATAGCTCCTATTGTAGGTCTGAAGCCCCAGGGCAGCATATTCTAATCTTGATCATAACATTACCCTGGAGTCTAAGAAAATCCAGGACAACCAGCTGAGCAGGAAGAGTGTGATAGTTGAAGAACTGGGGACCTCTCTTGCACTACACTAAGATCTTCTTGCTCTTTTGCTTTGAGAAGAAAGATTCATTCTGAGTTGTTCTGCTGAGTAATAACATTTATGAAAAAGGAACAAGAATCGAGAAAGAAAATAGGACTGTAAACATTTTTAGAAGTGGTAGCAATAATATTACTAGAATAATACAAATATTGATAAAAGATAAAATAGAAAACTGGACAATTCTGTCATGTATAAGCTTTAACATATTTTCCATCTGTAGTATAAACAAGGAGAAAAAGAATATATTCAAATGAAAAACAAAAATAATAAGAAGTTAGAATCACTATTATTTAGTCCTTTATCAGTCACTGCCAATTAATTAAGAAATCTGGAAAAGTTTCCTTGAAATAAAAAAATTTTTTAGTCTTCCAAAGAAGTAGATACTTTAAAGACAATGGCAAACATGCATAGGAATGTGAAATGATATGGTAATGCAAAGAAGCAGCTTTTGGCAAAAAAGAAAGGAAAACAATATAATTTGGTGAGGGCTAAGATGGGGAATTTTGAAACAGAAAAGAGAGGACTTGAGAAATGAAGGAAATACAGCAAAGGCAACGTTTCCTCTTCTATTGTGACTTTCTTCTAGTACTTTCTTCTAGTACAATATTACAATAAAAAGAATATTACACTAAAAAACTTTGAACGTATCTTGTAGAATGGATACTACTATTGGTAAAAAGAAACCTAAGCACAAAGAGTGAGGTATAAGAATCAGGACAAAAATTCACCAAGGCCTGATCTTCAATGTCCTTGTATATATAGACATCAGATGAAGTTGAGACAAGGAAAATTATTTTAGAGACAATTCTATGGTCCATTTTATTATTAAACAAATTGGGAAGTACACTGTCAAGGGATGTCTCTCTTTAAAAAAAATTAAAATTGTAATACAAGCGAAATCCAGTTAATTTGGTCTTTATAAAATTATACATACCTGAATTAATTGAGCTAAATGTCAGATTTTCTTAAACTCTCTGGGAATTCCGGGAACCACACAAGGTTATTATTTTTTTAAATTGTTATTTACATACCTTTACACTACGCAATGCATAGCAAACCCAATTTTACAAAGACCTGACTGCATCTTTGGAGACAATCAAACTTAACAGGCAGCTAAAATAACTCATCGGTAGAAGGATATGTAGAATTATCCAAAATTCCTCAAAGCCAACAGAGAAGACCCCTTTATATTTGTAACACTAGGGTACAGCTATCCACCAAGAAAGCTGAAGCACCTCAAAACACAACTTAAGGAGATATAAACAGAACTCCAGTTAAATGGAAGGCTTGGTTAACCACAGTTGAGTAAACCTGAGTTGCAGCGTAATCTGATAAGGAATGAACGGCATGGATTCTAGAAGTGTAAACCATGTGTCCCGAACACACTAGAGTTCTTTGAAAGAGTTAATCAAATAGTGGGTAAAGAATAGTGATGCATATCATTCAAAAGCTTGTTTTTGTCTTTTAAAAATAATTCTCTTGTAAGAGATTATTAAGAAAATTTAGTAACTATACTGTGGATTAAAAATTGATTAATAGTCAAAAAAACAGAAACAATATTAAAAGTCTCCAGAGATTAATACTAGGCTAGTTAACAACTTTATGAATGACCTAGAAGAAGCTTACGTGGCCAGAAAACATGAAGACTGAAAATTGACGCAAACTACGGTAAAGCCTAAAGGCCTTGCTAAATAATACAGTGAAATTCCCTCTTCACAAAATAAAGAAACAATACTTAAAGTATACTAATAGGATCAATGTTAACAGTTAAAAAAAAAAGAAAAGATTACTAAAATTTACCAGAGTGAGAAAAAGAATAAAGAGCAGACAAAGATTGACAAAACGATGAATGGCAAAGAGAATGCCGGCTAGTGCCTCTTAAATCTCTTTTCCTTTATTAATACACAGAAACTATATGTACAGCTTTAATAGGAGACAAAAAATTTAAAATAAAAGAGGACACTACTTTATACAGTATATAATTAACCCACTGAACATGCTGTCACAGGACATTAATGAAGCACAAAGCTTAGTATGGCTCCCAAAGACCTCAGAGATATCAAAATGTGGTTCTACAGCAAAATAATTTAAGGTAAAAAAATAAAATGGAGCACCCTCATGCTTCAGGGTATTAACTAGGCAAAGTCGGGAAAAAAAGTTTCCTTTCCAATTGTATTCAAAATGACTTACGTTTCAACTGTTAAATGTTCCTAATTCCATCGTAGAGTTTAAATTAAATGAATAGACTCCTATCCAAAAATTCTTACTCCTGTATTTCCAGGTACATTTTCTTTGCCTGTTTATTTTTCTAAACAGCAGAGCCTTCCATTTCACCCAATTATTCTTCTACTTCACTTATCCCAGCTTCAAAATATTGCCTAAGAAATGATCATGAAGAACCGCTAAATCATATATGTAAAAATCCACGTTTGGAAAAGAGAGTTCTATAATTTGTTAAATTTTCCCACCTTCTTTCTCAACATAGACCAAAATTTAAATTCGTATAATATTTTGGTTCTGCTCATATCACAAAATCAAAATCTGAGCTTGGATGCTGAGGGGAATTATATCTAATATTTTAGCTTGTGTCCAAGAGCTACAGCAACAAGTATTCTTTCATAAAATAAAATTTAATCAATAAGCAACATAATTTTATGGAGTAAGACACTGGAATGCCACATTAAAAAGGTACAGCCCTCTAGGCTCTAGCTTCACCATGGAGGATGAGCAATTCATCTATGAAATGCTATGGCCCCAGCAAGTTCATAAATTCAACACATAAAGAGTAGGCTATGAATTAACAGGCAAAATTCACAGCCTGAAAGCCTGAGAAACTGTCTGAAAGACTCTGTGAGTTAATAAAAAACAGATGTTAAATTTTAAATTTTGAAAATAATAAAATTATGTGTAGACAAGACCAAAGTGATTGGGAGGTAAGTTTACACCTTGTGTCCATTTTGTAATCCAGTCCTCTCCATTTTGGGCTTAGCATAGGGTGCCGCACGTGGTATAAAGCCAGCCATAGCATTCAAGCTTGAATGAATTTTAAAAGTGACACAGTGATCAAATATGCTCCAAGGGCATTCTAGAATTTCAGGGTGCTACTGACCATTAAAATCAACCTCCTTAGTGCTCACTTCAGATTTAAACAGGATATAGAGTACAATCCTCAGGTCAATTAAATACAAGCCCATATATTTCATCTATCAAAATACTGTGTCTAGAATATATCGCTTGCAAAGAAAGTCTTATTATGCGGATCTAAAAAGGCGATGTAATACCAGGGTTAAAGATAAGCAGATGATCTTCTAAAGTACACGATTTATATGCTTCTTCTTGAGTATATAAAATAAGAATTTGCTTTAGAATGCCAATGAGGCAATATCCTTAAAAGATAGAACAAATAAAGCTAAGCAGCAAAAGCCTTTGTGTGGTATTTGGTTCGGGAGGTAAAGAAGAAAGGCCTATTTCAAACAGATAGAAAGTGAAATATAATAAAGTTATCCTTACCTGCATTAATTTTCCTTCTGCTGGAGTTATTTCAGCAACACCAGCAAATACACCTTCCAAAGTCAGATTCAGTTTTCCTGTAGGGTCCATTTTCAGGGGGATCACTCTGATAATAGCTTTCTGCTCTGCTGATCTTTCAGACTCCACTGCTGCTGCCAGTACCAGTCCTGTGTGTCCAAAGCCTGCCTGCAGGGTAGCCATCAGCAGCCAGGGCCAGAGGGCAGCCAGCTGCAGCTGGTGGCCACCACTCATGCTACCAGCTGCAGCAATGCACTTCGGCCATACATACTGCTTCCACTAGCTAATACCAAATGCAGGTTCTCAGATCCAGACAAATTAAGGAAGAGAGAATTTATGCTTCAGTTTCAGAAAGCCAAGTCATAGTTTTGGCCCTTCCTTTCTCATATTCCCAAGAACAGGTGGCATTCTTGATCTGGCAGGGAAGAGGGTGTTTTCAGCCCACTTCTGCTCCAGGTATGTCATTTTCTCCCATCTTCACTATTATTAGTAAAGATAGCACCACTTTTCTTTGGAATTTCCAACTTTGCTTGAGGTTGAATGTCACATTCTGAATTTTTATTATGTCAGATCACTTGGTGCTGGTCTTCCATATGCATCAAGCTGTAGAGCCACTAAACTAATGTTAATGAACAAAACAAGGCAAAGTAAATAACTAAGGCCATGCATCGAAGGCGAGCGTGAAAAACTCCAGTTCAGAAAATGAAGAAATGGTCCTTTTTAAGCCACATGATTTGTCAATGGAAAAAGACTAAAGATCACTGGAGAATTTTTTTAATGGGAAAAAAGAGGGAACAATATTTGAGGTCATACCTTGAGAGATGTCCAAAGATGCTATGACATGTATTCATAAGTTTCCACATTCAAATATATTTCATGGTAGCCAAAGTCCCAGGCCTTGAATTTATAGTACTTTGAGTGAACTTAAATATACTATCGTTTTTAAATGTTCTACCTGATTTGCCTATCAATTAGGTAGTAATTTATATGTCTCCACATATTACAGGATAATCCTGAGCATCACGACCTTTTTCAAATTTCATAATTGAAAGAATATCCGAAAAGGTTAGATTTCCAATTATTTTTCCTATTTCTATTTTTATTTTTCTTTCTCTTACGGATTCCAGCTTTTATTCTCCTGCTTGAGAATGCCAAGCACTTTGATTTCCCATGAGATGCTTTTGGAAACTACTTTATTATCCCAATCTTATAATCTGTAATTTTCTAGGTTCATAAGTAAAACAAAGGACTATTCCTGACACGTTTTCAAATTCCTCGAGGGGGTGGGGTATAAAAGATAGGGGGAGTAGGGAGGTGATTAGTCTACAGACTCTAAGTAGAATACCCTGAAAAAGTAAAAAGCCTGAACAAGGTAGATCTGTGCTATTTCTAGGCACACTTGAGAATTTGGGTCTTTGTACAAAAATAAAACCTTATTCTAAAATTTTAAAATGTGCACCCTTAAGTAAATATAAATGCACATCAACCACAAAGCCCCACTGTGTTCAGAGATCAAGTTAAAAAAATCTTATAAAGTTTTCAGAATAAGTGCTGAAAAGCCAAGCAATTGAACATGAACCTGTTATACAGATTCTTTTCTTTTGCTGAGGCAGAGGGAGAAAAAAAAAAAAAGAATTTCAAAAGAAATCTGCAAACCTGTTGCGCTGTCGGGCCCACTGGAATCCACGGGGGTGAAACAAATTCAATTATGCTTTTATAGATCCTGCTCAAAAAAAGATTTCAACTGTTTAACCAAGTACAGCTCATTCTTCCACCTTCTTACTCTGCAACCAAACCAAGTGCCCCACACTGCAGGTAGGTGCCGAGAAACTCCGCAGCCTGGAAAAATAATCCATGCAGGTCAGAGGCAGAAACAGTCCAGGGTTAGAGCTACTGTCCCCAAGAACTCTAAAAACACTTATAGAGGATCCAAAATCATTTCTGCAATCTCCTTTCTAACAAAAGTTCTTTCTCTCCCCGAACAGCATATAAAATGATCAGATCTTGAAAGAGAAAAGAAGCAAAGCAACAATTCACTACCAGGAGCACAGAAAATCCCAGAGGGAGAAGGCAATATCTCTGAATCATGGATGGACTTGGAAAGTTCGGAAGGATTCGAGTGCTTCCCTTCCAGAAAGACAATTCTGGATCAACTCCCTAGAGGAAAAAGCCTGTGGTTTGTAATTGGTGTTCTAGTTCGACTCCCTCCCCTGAGACTGCAATCACGCTCTATACCTGCTGACACAAAGTGAGGGTGGAGCAGCTAGAGGCAACCACCCCCCCATCCCGCCCCTCCTCCTCCCGGCTGGCTAGGGCTCCGGCTTGGGCGCGCACACTTAACCAGACACGTTCTTTTGCTCTTCTCTCTCAGCTCCTCTACTCCCTCTATTGAGCCACAGCCAAACTGCATCCAATTCAATCCTCAATTCCTTTCTCTGGGTGAGCTATCACATGAAAATCAGGGCCACTCAAACAATATCTAAACAGATTCGGCACCCAAAAGAACATAGATGGTGGTATGAGGAAGTAAAGAGAAAAAAACATAAAGGAAATCCAGAAGATTAAAGAATGAACACATGGTTTTGGAAATATAAGTTCAAAGAGATTTCTGCTTTTTCCAGGTTTTAGTGCCTATAAATGGCATAAAGCCAGAATAAAGTGATCCTGTGCTATAGTACTTACTGATTTACTGTTGTCTTATATCTACTATCCTGGCAAGAACTCTGTCCATTTTATGTGCAGTTTTTCTTCGGCTTTTACTAATTTACATTTAGCAGCTCTTTTCTAAACGGTGCCTGTGTGGAGCTTTTAGACCAGGTTGATGTCAGAAGTTTGGAATCGGTCATTTTCTTCTCATGTCTCTGGGAGATGAAACAATACTATGGATCAGACTTTTGCTTTCCATGTAAGATTGCAAGTAAATCTATGTCATGAATACAAGCAAAGGGGTAAAAAATATATGCTTAATGAAAAGAATGTAGGCTAAAAGAAAATTTGGGGCTAATTACCACATTCATGAACCATAACCCTTCCAGTAAACTTGTCATTAGAAATAATGCAAAAGTTTTTAATATGTCTCTAAAATTTGAATTTTCAAATTTATCAGATTATATTTAATTGTGGCCATTTTATTTGATTTGCTAATCTTTCCAAATTGCACAAATGCACAATTATATGAATGTGGTTAACACTAATGAGCTGCACATTTAAAAATTATGACTTCTGTCATGTGCTTCTTTAAGCTGTGGTAAGAAGCACATAACATAAATCTTTTTAAAAGTTTTTAAAAATTGTACAAATTGATCATCTGTAAAATGCAAATAATAACTGCATTGTAGGTTTGTTGTAAAGATTACATGACATAATGCCTCTGAAAGCAAAAAGTATGAGTGGTCTATTCACCTTGAGCATTTTCTCCCTAAAGAAGGTTTATGGGGATAGTTGTGGCATTTTAGGCCTAATAACTAACCTAGAGAAGGGAGATATATTCTAAAGTAAATTCTTAATTTAGCACTTTTTCTTTATTGGTTGGGCATTAAAGACATAATGCAAGTATAGACCTTTTATAGCCCCTTTCCTAAAGAAAAGGAATTGATCTAATTCTTCTGGACAGAATTTTTAAAAATCTGCTATGATTTTATATTTTGATTTTATATATGCCATATCATAGTACAGCATAAATAATGCAAAGCATACATTACTATATATGATATATAAAAAAAAATCTTTAAGGTTAAACTAAACAAAAAGTAAGCTACCAATGGACTTTGCCTCACCTATTCTTGCTTGAAACTTGCAAAGGAATTAAGAGACCGAGACCTGAGAGTTAATACACACACTTAGCTGAAAGAAGGAAAAAAAATATAAATGTGGTTGCCCTCTCTTGAGGAAACTCTGAGGTCCGGGAATGATGATAGTATGTATCAAGACCTTGGGTACCCTGAGACACTCAGGATCAAACAAAACAGCTCTATGTAGCTCACTGATATACTGTGTTTAGGTCACCAGAATTGGTAAACAAGAGAAATTATTCTCTGGTTTTAAAGGTTTTAAGTTATCCTTCAAGGGTTGATGCACACAACTTCCTCTGAGATATCATAAAGATGCCATCACTATGGTAATGAAATGCCCATTTTCGCTGACATCTATTATTATCTAATCTTACACAGGAGACAGGTCATCCTTCAAGATCTACTTTTGCATCTGGATTGACTAAAGTTACTGAAGACCATTCATCCTTTTCCACAAAACAAGGTTTCTATAAATATGTCCAAGAAATGTCCTAATCTTTAATGGCATTTTAAAGATTCAGTCTCTATTCAAGTGCAAATGGGGGGGGGGTGTCAAGACACATTTTCTTAAAAAGTCAGATTCTTTGAAAAACAGAGTATATTCTCTTTTGAAGTTCTCTAATATGATTAATAGTCATAATGACCAAGGTTTCTAACGATCACTAACCAAACAGTAAAAACAAGCAAGACAACAAGTCTAGTTGAAACACTCACTTTATTGTTGACTGACTGAAATTTATCATGCTTAAGGTGCTGAAATACTGAGGTGCTAGTCAGGAACCTTGTTAGTATTATGTCAGACCCTACTGGCTAATTCACACACAGATTTTATCTTATCTTTTTCCATTTTACCCAGTCAGTGATGATAGCTTAAGCTGATAGGTAGCAAGCATGTGAGAATAGCAGGAGATCCAGCTCCTTGGTCTGTTGTACGCATATATAAAAAAAGTTTGGAAAGCTGATAATGGCATTTCATTAATTAAGCTTTAAAATCACTGAAACCAAATCCATGCCAAGGTTCCTGCTTGACACATGTTCCTCAAAAGATATTATCTCTTTCAACATATATAAAGCTAAGAAAGGCATATTTAAAGGAAAATATATCACCAACATAGTACATCAGCTTTTCAACATGACAGAGAAAAGGCAAAGTTCCTTCATTTGGAAATTGGATCTCCTCTTCACATACTCTGCCAAAATACACAGTCTGGCCAAAAGATACAGGAGTCCTGATAATCTGCTCATCTTTTAAATCTTGCTAATTAAAGATGAATAAATGCCCATCACATGGACATTAACTACTCTAATCAGATGGACCAAACAGGTCACTTTTCAGAACCTACTTTCATATCTAAACTGAGTCACTGCAGACCATTACAGAGCTCATCCTTTTCCAAAAAACTACTATCTCTGTAATATTTCCAGAGTTTGACATCATTGGGA